GAGATCATAGTACTGGTCTAGTGATTTCGACAAAAGATTCCTGCATTGCAGGGGGTTGGACTAGATGACCCTTGTGGTCCCTTCCAACTCTACTATTCTATGATTATAAGCAGTTAAGAAAGCAGAAAATGCAAAACAATACATTTTAGCACTGTAAGAAACATTGCTTCGAATCATCTGCTAAGTGGTCTGAAAGAGATCTGGGGCACTTAAATATCCCCTGTCTTGTGCTGTGATATAAACCAGTTAGAAATGTTTTCTATGAAAGACAGGTAAGCTGCTTCAACAACAGCAACAACACATGCCAGTCAGGAAGCAGGAAAACACTAAGATACTTTGCTTATGTGTATGCATATTTCCCAAAAGATAAGTGGATGGATCATAATGTGTTTTGAAAATGTTGCCTCTTTAGGAGGGGTGCATTTTGTAAAACTTTTTCCTAAGATGATACTGACAGATGGTGTATGTAGCTTGTTCCCATCTGAAGAGCGAGCAACAGTGGAGACCTCTGTAATCTAAATAATCCTTATAAAAATCCTTTTTATCGTGTTATTACTACATTTAGAATTGAACTACTGGAATCAGAATTAAAAGCTTGTTCCTGAACCAAGTATGCTGGTGATCCCACACAACTTATCTATTTCTGAAGATTACTCGTACTCTTAGCAAGTGATAAATACTTATTATTGATAGCCATCTGGTCAAACATTGATGATCTACTGGGCAATCTAGCACAAAGTTTCTGAATTTCAAATGCAAAGCAAGTATGGCATTTAATCGCTTTAACTTTTATCTGTGATCTCTTTTGAGCTGTTGCACTGGGTGAGGGAACTGTTTGTGACACACTCTCACAGAGAGAAGATAGTAAAAATTCATTATTCCAAAAGGCTCTTATATATTATCAACATTTAATATCAATATTACAGGGTCAAGAAAGCTACCATTAATGTGTATCATATTTATTATTCCATAGTAAAATAACCCATGTCCGCGAAAATGCTCATTAAAAGTCTACCTTTCCCACCATTTACCCCATTCTCTGCAATTCATCAGTAGCACACTTTCAGGGATGTCTAACTCACACCCAGGGCGCACCTATAATTTCCCACTAAAAATAAACTGATGGTGAAGGAGGCCTGTACTAGAAATACCAAAATACCTCCAGACCCATTCTGCTCTAGATGGTGCTGCCTCATTAATACCCTGATCCACAGCAATCTCCATCATTTGGGTGACATGCAAGCAAGATGGTGAAAGCAGGCTCAGGGGACCGCCCAAACCAGCTTCATGATAGAGCAATTTCAGGACCCTAGACAGCACCAAAGGTTCTTTATACTGTACTCAACACTAATGTCTCATAACCAATGTAACTGATCTGTAGAAAAGACTGTACAACTTGAAAAAAGATACGACATGTACTTTTGCAGTCCAATAAAATCTTTTATAAATAATAGCAAACAAAAAACAAGAGTTCAAGACCACAAACAGCACCTAAGGGCAGGAAAGAATGGAGTTGCCTCAGCCCTGGCTTGTTGCAGCTGCCAGAGTTCTGTAGTTTGATCTGGAGAATCCAGGCACTACTAATTAAAGGGCCTTTGGTGCTGCCACTAGCTTCTTCCTAGACAACAGGGTCTTTATCCTCAGAAAAGAGTGATCTAATCGTCAAAGATCAAATGCTGAGGGATTTTGGGGCTACACATAGAATCTCATGTCAATGTGTTTACTCAGGATGAGATAGTTAATGGGTCCATATCACCTCAGGAACACTAAGTCTGAGGGCTCCAGGGCCATAGCAGATAGAATATCCCCTCCCCCCCAAAAAAAAAACCTGATCATTTTTTATGAGGTAAGAATAATTAGAAAGACTTGGACTGTTCTACATCTAGCCAGATAGAAAATAACTGAACCACAACTCTCATCAGAACCTTTTTCTAGGAGGGTTGTCAAGCAATTAAAGATCATATGCTTTTCAGCTGATTGCATCTAAATATATTTGCATGTAAACAAAGGCTAACCAGAAGTGCCTTTTGAGATACTGAAGGAAATTCAAGATAACTTAATGAACAACCGCTGCCACATTATTAAAAGGAAAGTCATCTTTCTTATTTTCTGTTTCATTGCCTATTACAGCAAGACACCACAGTCAAATAGCCTTTAAAAAAATAAACAAATGGGTCTTTAAATCACAGCTCCACTGATTAAATTTGGCCTGACCAATTAAAATTGGCCCTTTTCAATAAATCAGCTAACACTTTAATTGATTAATCTTCCAATTAAAATTTGCACCTCACATTTCTAGGTCTGCAGGTCATTTTAACTTAGTGCCTTGTAAGCAACACAAAGCAGTCACTGGGTGCAGGAAAAATGAACAGCGGGAAGAAGAGCTAGAGAAAAACCGAGTCAAACTAGTGTTAGGATGTACAGGTGCTTTAGTAATAGCAACTCTTTTAAATTAGCAGAAATTGCATAATACCTTTTTATTCATGTGGGTGGCATATTCTAAGCTCTATTCTCATAGGAATATAGCAGCAGCCCTGCTGCATCTGATCAAATGTTCAACTAGTCCAGTTTACTGTTCTACACAGGGCCAACCAAATGCCTCTGGGAAGCTTCCAAGTAGGAACCAGCAACTGGTACTTTCTGAAACCTAGAAACTGCACAGTCACTGTAGTAGCCATCATAGATTTATCCTCCATGATATTTTAAGTCATATTGTTGTATTGCATATTATGTGAAATCCCTAATCAAGAAATCAGTTGTGTTTCTCTTCCTTAATATTACAGAGCAGAACCTCAGCATGATATGGTAAAAACAGAAAAACCCCTATCACTTCACTCAGGGATTTTTGATTTCCACCAATTTCTCCCCTCACCCCCACTGCGCCACATCTCCATGATGGAGAGTCGTCCAACCACAAGGGATGACTTCTTGGTAGGTGGGAAAGCCCAACTCCCAATGGAATTCTGACAATGGTTCTCTGGATACACACCATAATATGGTGGAAACACTAAGCATTTTCCTTTTTTTGCTGAATGTTTCTATAAGCTAAACATTAGGCCTAAATCCAGAGTTCAACCACCTAGAAGTTTACAAATTAAAATGGGTAGAAGATAATGGCAACACACTGGAAAAGGTAATTGGATAACAAGCAGAAAGTCACTCTGTGGCATACTTATCAGCTGTAAGTCAGACCACTCTTCACAGCCTGAGCCCTGCATATCTCAGATCTACCCATTAGTTGGGCTTCAGTGAAGCTTTTTTCCAGTTATATGAGTATAGGACTGATGCCTTAAACAATTAATGAGACAGCAGGTTTTTATTTTATTTTTTAAACATTTTCAGTAAGTTTTCATTTGTTTGGAATATTGATAAACGGCTAAACATTCCAACATACCATAGAAGTATATAACAACAAAAATGCAACAAGCTGAAATGGATAAAGCAATTCTCAAAAGAGAAATCAGATACAGCCCAAAAAATTCATCCTTCTGGGAAAGCCATAATAAATAAATAAATAAATAAATAAATAAATAAATAAAACGTTTTAAGCATCCAGTTCACCATCTACAATGCTGCAGCTTGTGTAACTTCAAAGGGCTGTGGGTTCCACAGAGTGCGTGCTAGGCAGGACCTAGTCTGAGCCACCACGTATGTGACAACACAAGGAAAGGTTCACACAGATGACCAAGGTGAATGTGCAGGAATATAGGGGGAGCCTTCAGAAAGTTATTTAGGGGTTTGCACACTAACAGTAAAAACTTAAAATTTAACCCAGTAAGCCTATTGTCTGTTTTAGTATTTGGTACTTATAAAAACCGCAGATGGCAAGTCCCATCTTCAGAAAATAAATAAATTCCAACCCCCAACCCCTTTTATCATATAGAAGGCAAAGTCTTTTCTTAGGGTTAGGCCTGCTACAACACAAATACACCCTTGCTTCTTGCTTCAGAATTATTAAATCTTGATAGATCAACTTAAAATTCACATGATTAATGAATGATCAGAAAAGGGCTGTAACTTGATGACAAAGAACTTGTTCTGAATGTAGAAGGCCCCATGTTCATTCCCTGACATTTCCAGGTAGAATTGGAAGAGACTGTTGTGACTCAGTTTAAGGCAGCTTCCTATGTTCGTATGGCTAAATTTTAAATTAAATTGCTTTTATTGATTTGTTTATTATTACTATTAATCTGAAATTATTATTACTATTAATCTGAAATCAAGCAATTGGAGGGAGGCCTTTTTTAAAAAAAGAAAGAAAAGAAAGAGACCTAATTAAAAAACAACAACACACAAAGTGGTTAAATTTTGACATCCTGTTTGATTACAGTCTGAGCTATCTGGAAACACGTAAAGTATTTAAACATGTAAAGCATTTAAATAATGTACTGCTATCTTAAATACATTTAATTGATTTGTATTTTACCACAACACTCTGACTGCTTCCTTTCCAATTCAATAAAAATATTTTTATTAGATATTTTTACACCATTTAATAAGAATGAATAACGTATGTAGAAGAGAAATTGCAAGATATTTATTTTTACATCCTTCCCATAAGTTTACTGCATAATTATTTGCCTACTTGAAACTGACAGCTTTGGCCATCTGTCAGATTAACTAAAGCAGTTTTAAGCACACAGGAAAGCAATCAGAAAAGCAAAATCTTTGCCTCAACTGCTATTGGAATGAAATATTTAAAAAGAAAAAGACCTCCAACTGCAATAATTTGAACCGGAACTCTTTTTTAAGGTAATCTCTTCACATACAAATCAGATTTTACACAAACATGCATAGATCCAGAACCTTTGTTACAAATATGGGAAGAAATTTCTATTTCAAATCTACCATGCCAGGTCAATTAGCTCAATAATTCAATTTCTAGACTGACTGACCATATGAATTGCAGCGTTTCAAGCAAAGTGTCAAACGTAATTGTTTCTTGAAATGCATACTTGAAAACTCCCTAACATATTTCTCTCCCTGTTTTCATTATGTAGTGTAGAATATGACTTCAGGCAACAGGAAGGCAGGTTTCACCAGGTTCTGAAAACACTGGATGAAGTAGAAGAATGCCCTCCTGTAGTGGCTCTACAAAGGCAACCATCTGATCATCCAGTCACTGAGAAACAGGAAATAAGAAGAAAGTCAAAGAAAAAGAAATGCTTCTGGTGGATTTGAAAGCCTTAAGAACTGGGTATGGGTATGGGCTGGTCCAGCTGTATGGACTTCAAATATGAACAACCCTTCCTTCACATACTCTGATTTGTTCCTTCACTCCCTGGTTTGTGTGCCATGATGCTCATTCAGACAAACCATGGTCTGGATGCAACATCTGAACTGGGTCTAAATCACTAAGATCTGAAGGGGGAAGTGGTGCTTGTAAGTCAGGGCTGTGTCTACTTTAATATACATAAAAAGCTCAGTCTCAAAAAAGACCGGAACAAGATAGTTAGAGATCCAGCTAAACTTGGTATTTCATATTAAAATTCTGAAATGAATGGAACATTGGTTTTCTTTCTGAATCTGACACTCTTAGCAATTCCATCACATGACTATAACTTGGGCATGATGGAATCATTTGGGTCCCCCATTCCTTGTTTTGGTTAGCTTGAATCAGAATTTCTGAAGCTGCCAGATTTTGGGTTTCAGATTTTATAGCTTATTTTCCCTGACAAACTCCTTTATAGCAACTCTGTATTAATTGTACCAAAGTGCACCTAACATCCTTCACATTGTAGAAAGGTGTTCCTTCTAAAGAAAGCCTAGCAGTCAGCATAAATGCTGATGTAGGAAAATGTTGAGAACCAGATTTTTCCAGATCTTTCATACAATAAAATATTTAACTATAATTCAGGAAAACACCCTGTGACTGTTATATTCCATTTTAATCACAGCACACAAATAAGATATTTTTTTTAAGCTCTGCACTACTCAAAGTAACTTTGAACTAGGGGGAAAATTACTTCTTCTGAAACAACAAATGATGGCTTGGATCTTAAAAATAAGTTAAGGAAGTTCAGAGAAGGAAAATTTGCTGTCTCCTCCTCCTCTTCCCTGCACAGTTTCTCTGAATGTCTGGGGAACCCTCCTGAGCAATGGGGGATAGGCACAGGGGGCTGCTCAGGAAAAGGAGAAATGTCCAGAATTGGGCATGCTCCCTTCCCCTGGGAAACCCTGAGCCCCATACATAGTGGATCTGGAACCCCCTCTCTCTGGGAAGGCTTTTCAGGAGGTACAGCCATCTGCAGTAGGGGAGGCAAGAATGAAGAACTCTTTGTCTATAATCTTCATTACACTGACTGATTGATCAAAGGATCCAGGCCAAAGCACTTCCTGTCCAGGGGACTTGTAGTTTAAACAAATAGATAAGACTTATCTTTGATAAGTCATGACAGCACAAAAGGTTAACTTAGGCAGAAATATTTATAACCTAGCCTATCTTAATGGGTTGAGGCACACATAACATTGCACAGTGTTGGGTTGTAAATCAGTTCCTGAAAACATAGCTGTGTGGAACACTGATAGAAGAAAAGAAAAACACTAAGGCATGTCCTCCCTTTTCTCCCTGTGTGGTTGCTCCTAGGTGCACATTCCTGGAGGCTGCTGGCACTGGCATGGAGACTCTCCATGTGCTTGGTCCAATCCATGTGGTAAGTGCCAATGTTATAGCTCCTGTCACCAGAGGGAAACATTTTTCAGTGGCTTCTAAAAAGAGCAGGAGTTCCTTGAATGCTGGGAGTCAGGAAAGGAACAGATCACTGGATACCTCTCTGTGAACTGCAGGATAGCTTCACATTGTTGATAACAGATAATGCTGCACATGACCAGCTAAGAGCTGGCAGAGGAGGATTTTTCATTTTCGTGGCTACAGAAGTAAGTTTCTGTGATGCTAAGAGAGACAAATGAGACCCAAATCAAGTTTTCTAAGATGTGTTTCTTAGATCACACTAAGATTTTAAAGCTAAAATGTTACTTTCCACCATTTGGAATAAACAATTCCAGAAGAATATTGCACCATCATTTAGCATGCCTGTCAGATATAAACTGAGAGCTACATTTTAAAAGGATAATGGACTTATATGAATTACAAGCACCAAATATATCAGTTATCTGCAGCCATGAGATCCATGTTACTGATGTGCCTTTAGTTTACCCACCCTTGTGTTGCAGCATCCTTTAAAGATGGACCACAGATGCCAAGTTCAGATGTTAACCTGAGCACGTTTTTCAACATTACCACCACATCTCCCTTTATGGAAACACTGGAATGTGTTCTTCCATCAATCTATCCCACAGCATTACAGCAACATTCTGATATATGGACAACTAGTTGCAGGGACTTCCAGGATCTGCAGCAACCTATGTTCAAGGTGACAGACTGAGCATCCACAGCTGACCAGTTCACATGTTATTAATGTGAAGACGGGTGTCCTGATCCAGCAGAGATAAGCAACATGCAGAAGAAAGTTCCACATCAGCATTCAATCACAGGCCTGGTCTTATCATTTGTCAGACTGAGACAGATGAGTTTGAGTGTCATGAAATAGCAGGAAATGGTTTGTTTATTCACAATTAATTTATTATTAGTATATTTTTACTTCCAAGTACAGTGGCCAGTTCTTGTGGGGTTTTATGGCTCAGTGCCAAAATAACATGACTGGTTTAGGCACTATGTACCTTGGGGAGGGGGTGCAACTTATAGCAGTTCAAACCCAGCACCTACAGTTATCTATGGGGTGGTACATGCTGAATGAAGTCAATGTACACAGCCTGTTGCAAATGTTTGGTGTCATGGGCTCTGAAATTGTCACCTTTTTCTGGAAGGGAGAGGCTCAGAATTCAGGCTTGACCTTTCCTCTGATATGTGCTGTGTGAGCAGGTATTTCAACCATCTGTTAACAGTACAGACAGCATCATCATACCTTGCTTATGAGTTTCCAAAGGCACCTTGCTGGTCAAGCTGAAAGCAGAATCATAGAAAAGACTGTTTTGATCTGATCCACCAAGACCCTTCTTCGGCTCTTGCTTTGAACATGTGTTATTTGGATTTAGGAGGAAATCTGCATCAGGAAAAGGATGGTGCTCACAAACACATACCCCCCTTGTTATTTAGATTTTTGATGCAACATTACAAATAAGTAAAATTTATTGACAGTTCACACTATGCTCATATTTCAGCATTGAGAATTAGATTACATATATTTAAAAGTCTTTATTTAAAAACTATGTTAGAAAGTATTGTGTATGATGACAGTCTACACCTCTGGAATGCCTTCCAGAAGGGTTTCCTTTGTATGTACCTGCAAGCTGGGGATAGCTTTCAGTAACACTAACTGTATACAGAAAATACATGACGTGCTGCCATTTTTTTTAAAAAAAAGTGAAATGAGGTACTTAAGTGAGAATGTTTGTAAAATACTGTATAGCACATATTACATATTCTTAAACTACTGTACTTGAAATTACTCTGCTTTGCAGAGGAAAGTGAACTTTTGGAAGAAAAATTTAAGAATACCACAGTCAATCTTCTATGAACAGTATCTTAATTAAAGGTTTGTGTATTCCTACAGTATAATAAATACCTATTCTCCTACCCACAGTGACAACTCTTGGAAAATAAGCAGGCTCCAATACAGATTACTTTCCTGATAAAATGTATTAATCAAATATACTATTTTGTATATTTCTAGATTCTTTTATTGGCATAATATCTTTTGCAATAAATGGACATATTTTTTCTGTCTCCGGATTCTAACTTGATAGCAGAGTTTATGGTGACTGAGGGTAAGGCACTCACTCAAAACCGGCAAAACTCTTGTTTTCCAAATGGTCTTTCCCCCACTTATTTATCAATTTTCCAAGGTCAGTTTTACAAAATCTGGTCAGGATTCAGCTCCATGTTGAACATGACACACCTTTTTTTTTTTTTTAAGGTGTGCATCGGATGGGCTTTCATACATTTTCAAAGGCAGTAAGCATCACTATATCACTGCCATTTGGCCACCCGCCTACAGATATCTCTCATGTTTCATGCTTTTCTTTCACAATCAGTTAAATAGCCATCTGGATGGAGCTGTTTTGATGGCGGATTGCTTTAATCATGTTTCCTACGAGTTTCTTGAGTATGCAAAGTAAAGCAAATAGACCTACCAGACTGGCTACTTTCTATGAAAAGAACTCTTTCACAACAAAGAAAAACATGGCAAAAGAAAACACCAAGAGATTCAGTTACCACACAATATGCACTGTAATGAATTCAACAGAATATTTTAAATAGAGCTACAAAATATATTCCTAGTCTCACAGCTGATGTTATTAGTCAGCGTTAGAAACTGAACTTCACCTTTCCCAAAACATTTTTTTTGAAAAAACAAAGCACTTTACAACCTCCTCCCTCCCCGCCTACTGAACCTGTAAGGTATAACATACAGGACCACAGCATGAGTAATGGTGCTGTAGAGTGCCTAGTCCAGGGATGGGGACACCTCTGATCCTCCAAATGTTATTGGACTACAACCTCCATGGTCCATGGCTTCCAGCTGGAACAGACAGTAGCTGATGTCCCACCACATTTGGAGGGCCACAGGGTTCCCATCCATGGTTTAGTCACTGGCCAACAGCAACCTCTTTCAAGCATTCACTCGACAGCTACCAAGTTCATTAACATTGTCCTTGCTGTATAAAATCATGCATTCTCATTTCTTAAAATCAGATTCATCATTTTCTCAAAAACACCAAGGCAACCTACCAAAGTTAATTATATGAGTAAATATAAAGTAAGATAGACAGACAGATACAATATCAAACATGTCAACAGTTCAGTCTCTCAATGGCTTTCAATCACGCGGTTAAAGGGGCGTGTGAGTCACAAATCTGAGTCATCTTTTTTGTAATAAAATAAAAAGTTAAGCCACAAGAAGCAAGAAAAGAGACAAACTCACAATAAAGTTTCCTATAGCTGACTCCTCATTTTAAGATATGCTTAAAATGTCTGTTCCTGCAATTAATTTGTCTCTTACTCTACCAACTTCAAGTCTCAGAGAGTTATATTAGCAGATTCTTAACTTTGGTTACTTTATAAAATCTGATAAGCAGCAGGGGTATACTTTTCCCCCTAGATACTTTGCAAATTGCTGGGTATCTCATGGCATCTCAATGCATAAAATAAGAAGAATCCTACTGCTCAGCACAGCTTATCTGTCAGCATTTAAAGCACAATTACCATTAGAATAAAGCAACTAAAATTAACACAATAGGGTTCCTTATTAATTTCCTTGCTTATCAAATCCTGTGAGTTTCATTATAATTGTCTCCATATCAAAACAACTTATTTTTGAAAGAGTCGCACCACTTGCAGATTTCTTTTCTGAGGTTTTGCCCTTCCTAGTCAGCCCCACTCACTGCCTAGGGTACCCAATTCTGGATATGCCTGTCATCAGAAAGCTATCCGCTTCCCTTTCTCAGGCAGATGCACATCAGCAGTAACTGTTTAACAAAAAGCATATGCAAGAGAAATTATGGCCAGTTCAAACCAAACCAACCCGCCCATTCAGACAGGAGTTCAGACAGGCTAGTGCTGACCCACTCCTACCCCATATGTGTCCACCCTCTGTTGTGCTTGAGAAGGAATACTACACACACTCCAACATAAGCATGTAGAGTGAGGGGGGAAAGTATTTGATCCCCTGCTAACTTTACCCATTTGCCCTCTGACGAAGAAATGACTAGTCCATAATTTTAATGGTAGGTTTATTGTAGCTGTGAGAGACAGAATAACAACAGGAAAACACCCAGAAACCCAGAAGACAAAAGTCAGAGATTGATGTGCATTATAATAAATGAAATAAGTATTTTATCCCCTATCAACCAGCCAGATGTCAGGCTACCTGGTATCTTCACTGTATAGAATGAGCTGAGATTAGAAGCACCTGCTGTAAGGGAGAGGTCTTACCTGTAATCCCAGTTCATTACAGTACCTGTACAAAAGACACCTGTCAACAGAAGCAATCAATCCAGCAGATTCCAAAGTAGCCACCATGATCAAGACCAAAGACCTATCAACCTGCACAAGGCTGGACTGGGCTACAAGACTATTGCCAAGCAGTTTGGTGAGAAGGTGACAACAGTTGGTGCAATAATTTGCAAATGGAAGAAACACAAAATAACTGTCAACCTCCCTTGGTCTGGGGCTCCATGCAAGATCTCATCTCGTGGAGTTGCAATGATCATGAGAACGGTGATGAAGCAGCCCAGAACTACATGGGGAACTTGTCAATGATCTCAGGGCAGCTGGGACCATAGTCACCATGAAAACAGTTGGTAACACACTACGCCATGAAGGACTGAGATCTTGCAGAGCCCACAAGGTCCCCTTGCTCAAGACAGCACATGTACAGGCCTGTCTGCAGTTTGCCAATGCACATCTGAATGACCCAGAGGAGAACTGGGTGAAACTGTTGTGGTCAGAAGAGACCAAAATTGAGCTCTTTGGCATCAACTCAACTCGCTGTGTTTGGAGGAGGAGGAATGCTGCCTACGACCCCAAGAATGCTCCTTGCCTGGGGCACCATTTGCTCTAGGATGGGACCTGATCCTGGCTTCCTGTATATCATATGGGAATGACTAAACATAATTGAGTTTGCTAGATTATATTTAGGCGAAATGCTTTCTGTGGCAGTGAATTAATGGATGCAGTTTTAACAATTATGAGGACCGTATTGTTGTTTAGCAGTCACCCAAAAACTAAAGACAAATGACCATAAAACACTCACCAAGCCAAAGTTTCATTGCTGGTGAACGGCCTAACACTGAAAGCGATCAACTGTACATATGTGTACTTGTACAAGGATGATAAGGATAAGAAATCTAGGAGTGTTGCTGAAAAGGTTGCCCAGTGCCACTTTGATTATGTATGGCACCCTTCCTGGCACCAAGAAAGTGCCAAGTAACTTAAGAATGCAAATGAGAGGCAACAGGCCTAAGCCAGGAATATCTGACCTAGAAAAGCAGGCTGCCTGTGTGACACAGCCACTGCAGGAAGCAACCACACCACTGAACCCTATATATATGCACTAGATGTGAATGCTGAAACACTTCCAGCCAGAAGCAGGTGAGTCCTGTAAGTGATCTATAAACAAGCCCCCGTAGTCCTTAGTCAGGGAGATGTAATAGCAGAAGCAATGGCTGCTTTGAATGGACTGCAGCAAACCAACATCACAGTCCTCCTGAGTCTTTCCTCTCCACGCAATATTATCTACTTGTCTTAATTCCAGCTGTAGCTATACCAGTTAAAATATGCTATTGTGGAACTGGAAAAACAGCTCTTTATTATTTATTACAATCATTTTAGTAAGTTGTAGCCCACTTTTTATATAAAACATAACCTCACAGCTGCTTACGTCATAAAGATAATAATGCAAATCTATCCAGTGTGAAATTATAAAGTCCTTCAGACAGGCATTTCTTTTTCCAGCAAGAAGAAACGCATCAGTTTGTGAGGGTGTAGGCTCCAAATAAGTGGGGAAACTCATTTGCAGGCAATTCCAACAACCATGGGATTGTTTAAGTTGATGTAGCATAGCAGCTAAGAGATGGAACTGAGAATTGGCAAGTCCCCAGAGTTTCCTGTTCTCTGCATGAGCTCACTATGTGGTCTTAGGCAAGCCATTCCCTCAGACTCTCATCTGCAAAATTAGCATAAAAATACTCACCTATCTTCCACTGTTGCTTTGGAATATTTGAAAGTGCTCTAGAAGTATGATTATTAATATAAGACAACCTTCCAAAGAAGTCCACAAAAATGACTCTACCACCAAGTATTTTTGCTTGCCAGGTCTCATAAAAGGCCTATGCACCAGAGAAGAAGCCAAACTATATCCCACTTAAACAAAGCTGGACCGCTGCCTATTCACCAGGAGAGTATTTTGATTCTCCACAAATGACTAAGCAAGTGGCAGCTTACATGCCTACTTTAGGACATGGTAGCCATTTGGTTCATTTCTCAGTGGGGTCTATTGTGTGGTTTGATACTATAAGTGCTCCTTCCACATGCCAGTCTAGATAAAACATCATTCTTTGACAGTCTGGTTTTTTTATACATGGAGCTTCACTTTTTTTTCACTTCACAGCTGAGACAGCTTTCACAGCTAAAATTTATGAGGGCAGCATTGTACATCATTCTCTGAAGCAAGTTATTGTGTTTGGAATTTTTTATGGGAAGAAGAATGACACGTTGATTTGACCACCTTATACGCAGAAGCTTAAAAATTGAAAATATATTTTTTAAAAATTAATATACCAATATATGAAAACAAAGCTGAGTTTGGACAATCTCATTTTCACACAAAAAACATTTACAGATGATGTTAATAATATATGTTTTCTACTGCTTGAAATCTAACACACAATGAAAAGCAGGCATTAACTCGGTTGGAATCAAGCTGACATCATTATGATGCCACAAGACAAAAGCGATCGTCTGGTAGCCATGGACACAATAGATAACACAAAATAAACACATGGGGTCTGTAAGTGGCATTGTATTATGAACAAATCTGTACACAAGTAGCTTTTAAATGTGAAGAATAATGCACAGGAATCAAAACTGTTTGTAGCACAGCTGTTTTGGAGTATTTACATTTGCAAACAAACTGGCAGCCAGATACCATACTGTCATTTAAATTGCCAGGCCAATCGTTTTTTGACAGCCAACTATATCAAACGATGCTGCACGGGGGGGGGGGAGAGAATAGCACAGTTATTTTGATTTTCTTGATACCTTTTTCTTGCAAAGTATCTTAAGCTCTGTTGAAAAGTACCCTGTTTTCAACGGTGTGGTTACTTCCTGTCTTTATAAAATGCTTAGCTATCAACATTTTATTCAAGTACCTTCTGATCTGCCAAATACATAATACTGTCAGGGTTGATTTCTTCTTTGCTACAGCTAAACTGTTAGCTGTAAAGGAACCAATAACAGATGAGGGTCAGGCAAGTCAGCGCACCTTCCCAAGAGCCTCCTTATGAGGATAAAGAACACTCAACACTGGTTCTAAACCTCTCAATTATCTCTTACCTTCTGAAGTAGATGAGGTCACCCAAAAATTGGGAAAGCACTTATTGTTGGTTGTTCATTTGTCCAGGTGCAATTATTTGCCACACAATGTTTAGTATTCTTTTTATCCTGCTTTTCTTTTTCAAAACAAGCACCTCAGGCAGTTAGCATTAAAAACTCCAACAGCATAAACAACAAATGAACTCAGGAAACCAGGGAAAGGACATCACCATCCCCTTCTCCACTTTTGCCAGCTGCACCAATGCTGGACTTAGAGGGGAGAAGCCAAGTGGCAGGTGGCCTGAGCAGGCCAATGGAAGGGGACTGGCTAGTTCCCTCTGCCTGCAGCAGGATGGCTGTGTACTGATGGGCTTTGCTCTGGGAGCTGCAGCCTTCAAACATGCCAGGGTGGCTATTGCCTGCTAGTTCTACATCTTCCACTAATGGTGCTTGTGTGCCCAGAGCTCTAGCAGTGAAATGTATTTACAAAACCGATTACTCACAATTAAGGTGTCATCTCTTCCCATTCTAATGACAGCCCTGTTAATGGTGCGCAGCAGCTGGACCATTATTTCTTGTATGTGCTGATGAGTTGACTTCTGTAAAGCAAATGCAATTATTTTCACAATAATGAAGAATAATCTACATAGAAAATGCAAAGGCACACTTCATTCTGAGGCCTATGAGCACAGTACCTGTCAGAGAGCTAATCACCTAATAACTGCCACCTCAATTGGTAATGCAAATTGGCAGTGTAGCTGAACAGAGTCCCTCCACCACAGCACACCACCAGATTTACCAATGTAGTAAGTATAATGGCTGCTTAGAATTAATTAAGCCATTTGGGGCTGTATACAACTGCTTAATGTATTTATTTGGGACTCTGGTTTCTATTCCATCCTTTATCAGTACACAATCCCAGGGCTGGTTACAACAATAAAATCCACATAAAAACCATTCGAAACATCAAAAAAAAAAGTACAATATAAAAACATGGCATTGATGCAGACAAGGCAACTGACCACTTTTCAGCTGAACACCCCAAGTGCCTTTTAAGTACATACTATAAAAATGCAATTCCTTCTTCTTATGTAGCAATATTATTTCAGTATTATGTGATAAATCACTGGTTTATCCCCACCATCTGATAGCGATATCTGTAGAATGACTAAAAGTGGACTAACTTTTCATTTTCCTCGGATATACTGCTGGGCTGAAAGTTTCCCTGTGCATTGCCTCAATTTTTTTCTAATGTCACCTTGGGTTTCAGTTACTGGCTGAACATGCGCCTTGCAGTGAATTGATTTTTTAACAAAGGTTACAGTTTTGTCTTTCTCTAAGGGCAACAAAGTAGTTCAAAAAACACTGCATTTCTCATCACCTCATCACTGGATTCTTAAAGGTAACTTAAAGAGTGATCTTATGGCCACAAGCCAATGCTATACCAGTGTAATGTTGCTGCAATCCTACATACTCCAAGCAGGAAAGTAGATACAGTGGTACCTCGGGTTAAGTACTTAATTCGTTCCGGAGGTCCGTTCTTAACCTGAAAATGTTCTTAACCTGAAGCACCACTTTAGCTAATGGGCCTCCTGCTGCCGCCGCGCCGCCGGAACACGATTTCTGTTCTCATCCTGAAGCAAAGTTCTTAACCTGAAGCACTATTTCTGGGTTAGCGGAGTCTGTAACCTGAAGTGTATGTAACCTGAAGCGTATGTAACCCAAGGTACCACTGTAATCGCATAATTGCAGCAGAAACCAGAAGCAAAATTGTGATACTGATACTCCACATAGACCCCAGCAACTCCAGCGTCACCCACTCTTCATCACGAAGCTCACTAAGAAATCTCCATATCATCCACAGACACAAGTGTTACATATGTACTCTGCTTGTATTGATTAGCCATTGCTATTTGTTTAAAATTCTTCCTTTGTGCCCTTCCAATATGCCCTTTTGCCAAAATTTCCCTTTTTTGTGTCCATGGTTCTATAACCATTGGGGTGGATTCATTTAGTCTCATGATCCACATTTTGATATATCAGCTGTGTTCCCTTTCCTGTGCTTACTCAGGGATCTGTGTTGGTTTCTAGTCAGAATCCTCTCCTCCAGTATATATGAAGGGAGAGCAGTTTGTATGTGGCTCTCCATTAACTCTAAAGGGAATGTATTTTTCATATGCCACCTCTTCTGCCAGTATAATGTTGCAATGACATTGCGAGTTAGAGCAACGTGGGCATGAGCAAGGATTCCAATTATGCTGTGCTCCAAATTCCACTAATTTTCCCCATGGTTTTGGCAGTGTCCCCATAGGGTAAGGTTTATGCTGGCGCAGTATACTGCCAATGCAATCCCATCACTATGCTGGCGTAGATCCACCATGCTGGCATAACATTTTGTTCTGTTAGTCAACGAGGATATAGTCTATCCTATCTCAGAATATAAGTACAATGCTAGTGTTTTATATATTCCCAGTTGTGTAACTATACATATGCATATTTTGTTCAGATTGTGCCTCAAGATCAATATTTTGAACATAATTTTAACATTTGCTTAACAGCTTAGGTACATCACCAGAAAAAAGGGGGGGGGTCTGACCTATTGAAGTTTCCATAGGGGAAATCACAGCTTCCTGGGATAACACTTGCTTATATTACTGTGCAAATGCAAAATAGTTTCTCCCAATTTATTAGCATTTAAAAAATCTGCAGGTTCCCCAGGTTACAACATGCATGTATGCTTGACAATATGAGGAGTGATTCACATGTTCCCAGATGTGGGACTGGCAGAATTGCCCATGGTTCAAATTTCCAAATATTTTCTTCTGATATCATGCCCAAATTGGGACTCACAGATCTCACTGTGAGTAAGATGTTAGTCTTCACATTGGGCATTACATCAGAGTACAAGTAATTTTTGGCTTCAAGAGTTGACTTCAAGTCTAGCGGAAGTGCACCTCTATATTCAGGGACATTCCATCTATATCAAAGCCAAATAATATTTATAGTTTTTACATTTTTCCAACCTTTACAAAAGTTACAATATGACAAATGTAAAACATTCTAGAGTGCAGGAGGAGGAACTAAAGGATGCAGAACTGGGGGGAAATATCAGTGACTGCATCACTGAACGTCTGATTCTCTTGCATGCATTGTATTCCTGTTTCGTCTTCCATCAATTGCTTCCTATTGCTCTGTTACAGATTGAATTCATACAGCCTGTGCTGGCTGTATCCAGTTACCTTTCATTCTCATCTGGCTTGGAATTGCTTCAAATGTTCTAAATAAGAAGCTAGCAGGGAAAGATGAATTGTGTATTCTCTCTTATTGCACTTTTGAGGCAGCATTTGGAAAGAAATTCATACAAATATTGCATATTTATTCTTTTAAGAGTTTTCACTTACTGTACTCCTTTCTTGCTGCTTACTCGGGCATGTTACACTCGGGGCCAGTTTCAATAGGTGGTACCCTACTAACTCAATCCATCAGTATAAGAATCTCTGCTTGTGCAATGGAACTTTCTCCCCTTTCCTCCCCCCATGCCCCCCAAACCTGTTCTAGAAGTTCCCCCAACCCACCAGAGCACATCTGGGGAGACTGTAGGGTGCATGCAGAGAGGAAAGGGAGGAGTTCCATTACGCAAGCAGAAATCAATGCATGGATTGAGCAAGTTAGTTGGGTACCACCAAATGGGCCAACAAATGGGGGTCTTTTTACATTCAAATAAGTATAGGCTCTCCCCAACTGGAAGCATTCGCTTTTTGCTGCAGTACAGCGGGGAGGTATGCTCCCAATATTTGGGGAAAACATCAAAATTTGGTTTCATTTGACTTATTCTTCAATTTATTTCAAACCTATTTATGTATTTATCCCTGGCAAAGCCAATGAGGTGCCCTCATTGTAAGACTAACAATTCCCATCAGTCCCAACCAGCAAGGCCAATGGTCAGGGATGCTGGGAATTGTGGCCCAAAAAGCATCTGAAGGGCACCAGGGCAGGCTACCCATGATTTATACTGCCCTTCTCTGCTTCACTGATATCTGATGAAATGAATGCCCATGATGGTTTATGACAAGACTGGTTAATTGCTAACTCCTGTAACAGCTTCTAACTTAATTTGCAGCAATACACCTACAGACACATCCATTAAACTCTCAGTGTTCATAAATCTTCCATGCTGTCTTTAAGCACAGCCATTACCAAATCAAAATATAGACTATTCCTTAAGTGTGACATCAGCTTAAAATATCGAACAAATGCTTTGCCTGGTCTAATTAAGAATAAACATGGGATGCTACTGGCTTTCCCACTTTTCTTGAAGTTGTTAAAACTTAACAGATAACAGCCTTACTCTTGCACCTACTTTTATTTCCCTAGCCAGCCTACTAACCCTCATCCTCTTTCTTTGATCAGCAATTACTGTGCCAGATGCCACAGTGGGGTAGGGTTCTTTCCAAAAGCAGCATCTGGTTGTTTGGCAGATTTCCCAGTTCCTTCTGGCAGGTTTGGCATTTTCAGAGGGCCTGTCATACACTGCTGCTGTGATCTGACAGAGTTTTCCTAAGAAGCTATCTCATTCCTCTCTCCCCCTTCACTCCCTCTGCCTTGATAAATGTTACAAGTAACTATAGGTCCAAGTTCTCCTAAGAGTTCTCTAATTAGATACTTTACTCTCCCAAAAGAACACCTCATCAAAGATGTTGAATAATTAGCTTGAAGCTTACATTTTGTTAAAAGGGGCCCAGATTGAAGTTACTTATAGCCCTACTTTTTAAACAATAATAATTATAATAATAATACATAAATCAGGCTCAGCCTTTCACTTCTGGAGAGGAGAAAGAGATAAAATAGTGAAACGCTACTCAGTACTTGATAAAACAGAAAATAGTATGGACTGAGCTGGCTCTTTTCCTTTCAGAGAGATAAGTATAGAGGCAAATTAATTGGAAAAACTACTTGCCATGTATGCAGAGTCTCAGAGACTATACAGGTATGTGTGTATTTAAAATTGGAGTCGCTAACTTGTGGTCCTCCAAATAATGCAGGAGTATAATCCCCAGAATGCTGGCTAGGACTGATGTAAACTGGAGTCGGGGAATATCTGGAGAGGTAGAGTTTACTCACCCTATTTTAACGCATGATTAAATGGTACTCAAGTTCCGGAGAAGATTCACCTACTATGAGTGATATACTCTATCAGCTCTACTACATATTCAGAGCTCCCTGAGTAAGTGGTGTCCCATTAATAAAGAGAAAAATTTATGGGCAATTTTGATGACATGTGAACAAAACTTCCACTAACATTCAAGTAAACGTTGCAGTCCATAATTAATCAGATCTCTGTTTGCATAGTAAACCCCAATAGAACCTTGTGTTAAGGTAACCACGTCACTTTGCACTTTAGAAGATCTGTCAAATATTAATTGCCTTGCCTGGGGCCAATTGCCACTTGATTCCCTTTCCCAGAACTCTCTCCGTGTGTGTTCACCCATTTCAACACCCATTGTACCCGGTTTTCTCTGAGGAAGAGTTTAAATATCAAAGGACCTTCTGTTGTAGGGCTGGGGAACCTTTGGCCCTCCAGATGTTGCTGAACTACAAC